ATAATACACCAAAAATGAACATGAGGCCTTTTCTGAAATTGAAAACAGCTCTTTGTGGTTGCCAGTTCGTTACTTCTGGGTGACTGGAAGCAGAAAACCCTTCAGGGTATTAAAGGGACCTAAATTCATCTAGTGCTCAAAAAATCTTCCATTCAGTACCTGCTGCTGAGAAGGTTTCTAACCTTATATGTGTACTGAAATATAATTCCTTTTTTTTAATAAACAATAATACTACACTTTAAATACACTATCGGTGTGTATACACTTAAAACAAGTATAGATTCTACCGAGATCTCCGTGTTTGAGTCAGAAAATGTGTGGAACTCACTATAAAGCTCTGTAAAACTGAGGGGGAGCTTCAGATTCAGGTGATAAGTCGCTCACTATGAGTGACCCCTCTCACCTTGTCATTTGATACATTTTTATTATATTATTAAGAAATAGCCATTCTGGCCGCTTTAAATAACAGAGCTGTCCGGCGGACAAAGGACGTCCTGGACGGCCTGCAAGCCGAGCTGCTGCTAACGCAAGCTTGTTTCGCTGATAACATACAGGGTTATTACTGCGAGGAAAATTATCCACAGAGGTCTCCGCCTATACAAAACGTTTCTCTGATGCTGTCCGGCTGGCAAACAACGTCCTGGACGGCCTGCCAGCCAAACTGCTGCAAACGTTAGCTCAGCTTGTTTCTCTGATAACTTAAGATCCAAACGTCTGATTACTAAAATCCTTCATCTGGTTAAAATGTATAGTTAAAAACGTGCAATATCTAAAAAGTGTATCATAAAAATGTGGCTTAAAACAGGATAAAAAAATCAATTCATGACAGCTTCTGGGAGACAACTACAATGCTGACACATGTGCAAAGGGGATACCATGCCATTGACAGGCCACACTCTGAAATGGGTTTGGACACATTTGGGATACTGTAAATGCACAACTAAAAATATATAACATAGGTGTAGTGTTTATAAACATTTGAATGCAGAAATGTTACATATTATATCTTTAACCCAAAATGAATGTCAGATTTGGAGCACAGGAAAACTTAAAGTATTTGTACCAAATTGTGTGTAACAACAAAACAACAAAATAGGTGTCACTGGGAGAAAATAGTTTAGGTCCCTCGCTTTAGATTTAGATGGCTATAGGATGATTTAATTTTACCATCCAGAAAACTTCTACATTGAGTCTTGGCTGTGTGCTGGCGCCATTCAGATAACTCTCCCGATGAATCAGACACTACGGATCATCATTATCAGGCATGTAAGACACAGCAGTCATTAGTGGATGGGGAACCTGCTACAGACTCACACACACACACACACACACACACACACACACACACACACACACACACACACACACACACACACACACACACATCAAGCCTCCTTCTCTCTCTTTCATAGACACACACACACATTACAGGGAGCGTGTATGGAAACCAGTAATAGTGTGTCAGTGGGGAAGCGTTAAGACAGCAGTGGGTCAGTGGTTGTGCTGCAGTCTGAAGCCCACTGCATACCCATGCACCCTCCACTGCAGCACTTTGATTTCACATTGGCATCCCCCCCTCTGCATCTCCACAGTGATGCCTCAGAGCAGCCTGCCCCATCATTACCCTTCTCACATGAGAACCCACTGCTGACATCTTTTATTGTACGCCGCACACTCACACAAGCACGCTCGCACAGAGACGCACAGCCACACGTGTACGCTTACAACACACTAAAGTACTTTTTTTTTTTTCTCCAGCAAGTAAATAGGACAGACGGGGCTGCCCTTCTTTCCTGTGTCCTTAGACTCTCTTGTCCACTTTATTCTGTACAGCAAAATCAAAGCTGGTTTGTAGGACTCTGAGGCTGCTCCCAGAGGAGACAAACCTGGACGAAAGCCCTAAGAACCACTACCGCTGTAACACCGTGATTTATTACTTTTGCACCAAACAAAGAGGAGAAGTTCACAGAGAAAGTCCTCTTCACATGAATGCACTGCACCAAGAAGAACAAGAGTAATGAAACACACGCACACACACAGTCACACCTCAGTGCTGTCGCAGTGCTTTCTCTCTATGTGCTGTGAGGTGAGTCATCAGCACAGAGAAGCATAACCTCACAGCTCCAGCTAATCTCTCCTCTCCTCCTCCTCCACCTCCTTCTCAACCTGCCAGCATCTCATTTTCTCCACTTATGGATGAAGGCACAGTGACTTACATCATCGCTGCAGCCTCACATATACATATAAGGCCGCAGATCCAAACACATGCTGGTGAATCACACGCACATCCTCTGGAGGAGAAAGATATATCTGAAGTTTTAAAAAAGGCTGTTATCCAATCAATATTTCTGCGTAACCATGCATTTAATGCACTTAAATCAGCACTTTAATTTGAGAGTTAAGACTGAGATGACTGCTCAAGGGGTTTTATATGCTGAGTTAAAAACTACAACAGTCCCATGAAAACAACATGGCAGTCAAGGACCCTTAAACTGGATTCAGTCCGCTTCACATCAGTTTCCCGGCTGCTCTTACAGTCATACATAGGTCCTTTGTGCCCTTTAAGACAGGAGCCCAGAGATGTTATTAAATGCTGCATGTTCACTCTCAGTCAGCAGGATGAAGACCAGAGGTGGACACAAAAAGCCAAACTAATAAACACAGTGTCTCTTTGAACCCACACAGCTGACAATCAATCTACTCTTCTGCTTTGGATCAGAGAAAGTGTGCAGATCAGAGGGGGGGAACCACACGCAACTCTGTGCAGTTCACCACAAGGAAGGTATTCCCAGGTTGCTTCCATATTTATAACAAGCAAGGCTGCAGACATGCTTCACTTTGTCACGCAGGGACACATGCTGGCAAACAAATTCTGAAGCCAAGCATCCATGACTTGAGGCAGTTTGTGTCCTACTTCTCCTAAGAGTGAATAAACAAAAGATTATGCCGTTTTTATCTAGTTGTACATGCAGTCAGCCTTGTCCGACACTTCATTCTCTCACTGTATCTGAATCGGCCTGTTTGAGCAGGTAATACACAAGCAGGGACTGAAGGATACATCAAAAAACACAACAGGAGCAGCAAAAACATCCTCCCTTCGCTGTGCTCTAGAGTCGAGTTGGTATTTGTAAAAATAAAGCATCTGTGAAATGACATTTCAAGAGGACTTACGTTGCCTTGTTAGCGTACTGCATCTCTGTGGAAGCTCCGTGACCATTCTGACTGTGTGCCCTGCTATGCTGTGTTGTGTGTTTTGGTCTGTTTCTGTCAGCCTGTCTGTGTGTGTATGTGTGTGTGTGTGTGTGTCGGTGCCCAGGGCCAGACCACTGGGATAGCTGTGTCCATGCTGACTTAGCTGTCATATTTTACAGAGACCTTCTTAACGGTCTAGGGAGCATATCAGCTTGTCTGTCCTGTCACTTCAGGCATCATATCCACCCACTCTATGTCTCTCTCTCTCTCTCTCTCTCTCTCACACACACACACACACACACACATACGTACATATACACACCCTGTGAACTTTTCTCTGCCCCTGCCCCACTCTCCGGGGGTGGCAAACACACCCAGAAAGACACCATCACTCAGTCATGTTGGAGTCACGGGGCCTGACACACAGTCACAAAAGCAACCTTGCAGGACTGGTCGCTGTCTCATGTACAAAAGAATAGCTCTGCAGATGTTATTTTATGCTCCTCTTTTTTTTTTCATTTCATTAATGTATGTAGTTAGGTATCACTGTTTTAAGACATGGATATAGAGATGCAATAGCCTTCACTTGTGTATTATTAAATTACAGATGAGTGACAAATTAAAGTAAAAACCAACATAAAGTATCTAATGTGCTGTAAGTAAGTTTCTGGAACCAACCAACCAAAACATATTCATTCAATTGGTGTTTGAATGAGAGTGCTGTCAAAAACGTTTAATGCCCTTTATGTATTTATGAGGACAAGATATACATTAATCAACTTTTCTGTAAATGTGCCAGTTAGCCAGCCAGATCATTTTCAGCTGGAGTTCTTTGGCAAAATGTTTTAAACCCAATGCAGCTGACAGCTTAAGAAATACAAACAATATAAATATAAGACACCTGTATGATGACAAAAGCAACAAGACAGTGCAGATATCATGGCGAGCAACAGGAAGTAAAAATCAACATTAACGCAACGATAAAACAACATCCACCATTCATGAGGCCACGCAAATCATCATAAAGCAACAGAGCAGAACTGAGCAACAGTGCTACTAGCCCTGTTTTTCCACATATGAGCCATGCAAAGCAATAAGACACTGATACATTTAAATACACTTCAGTCCAAAATCACCTATAGGTGGGTTGAGATCAAGTCATAGCACATGACTCACATCATTTTCATGCTCTTCAAACTACTCAGTGACCTCTCCTACAATGCATGAAATCATCTGCGTTCTTTACAGTTCTCCACACATGTATTAAAGTTTTTCATTCAATAAGGTTTAGTGGTACATTCTGATCTATTGCTCAGATTAGATTTTTTTTTTGGTTTGGCTTTGGCACATTATTTGTTAAATGTGGCCCATATCAGATTCCAGAACAAGTCACGGTCCTGAAGTGATCTAGAATAACATAAAAGTCACATGAATTGACTGTTTACGCTGAGGTTGAGTTGTAAAAAATCTGACCTATATCTGATTTGGACCACATAAGAACTGAAAAGATCAGATTTGTGTCGTTCTCACTGTCATTAAAATACAGATCTGAGTCACATATGAGCAAAAAATCTGATTCGGGCCACTTTTGCCTGCAGTTTGAGAGAAGAGATAATCTGCCAACATACTAACTTTTCAGAATCTAGGTTAAACCTCATCACATATATTTAGTTTATTAAGTGTTTGGAAATAACCTGATAACACAATGATTTCTTTATCAGAACATTAAGTAATCCAGCAGAAAAGAGGACACTCTAGTTGTGAGTGTGCTTTTACACAACATCAGCAATATGTAAAGTGGCTCTCACCTGGAGTCAAAAACAGGGTCGGTGTACATGGGAGGGGAGCACAGGGGTTGCTCTCCTGGACTGTTCGGGGGCACAGGGAGGCCCTCTTTCCTGCCCTGTCCTGGAACACCATCTGTAAGAACAGAATAATATATTAGCCACTTTTCATAGCTCCGGTAATTTACACTTCTTCCCTTCTGACTGGGTGAGTAAGCAGGAGGTTTCTTAATGAGAAGAAGTTCTTAATTGTGGGGTATCAGCCACAGATATAGCAGACACTCACTGAGCTGTAAATGTGAGTCATTTTCTTGAGAGTACTCAGTTTTATGTAAATGTGAGTAAAGCATATTGATTTGGAATAATGCAGCACAGACAAGGTCCTGCAGACTGGAGCCACGTTCAGGCCATATGTTGTCAGAGGCTAGTTAGGAACGCTGGCGGCTAAGTAATCCCCTCAGCCATCCAGATTTAAGAGGCTATTTTTGCTGGCTCTTAGTCTGTGGCGCTGGCTTACTGCAAAGTGGTTTCCTTCCCTTTATATTGTTTTTTTTTTGTCTTCAATTTCTCACAGAAAATTAAATGCAACAAAAGATAAGTGAAAATACTGACCAAATAAGCGGAAAACAACTACAGATCGATGAGCTGTAACTCTGTTCAGTGCTTTTAAACACACACTGATACGTTTACAGGAAGACACAGCCTTCTATGACCTTTGTTTTTTGTGTGAGGCATTAATGTAATTAGCTGCTAATAAATGACTGTACCTTCTCCATCCAGCAGAAAGCAGGTTAGCAGGTGGGGACACACTTCCTCTAAAACTGAACAGAAGGAGCAGAATGCAGCGGGCCCCTTTGAGGACAGATGGTCCAAGAATATCTCCGTCCGTTTCTTGCTGGACTCCTGTCCCAGTATTTCCTTGTATTCCCCCAGCGAGAAAACCTTATCATACACCAGGTAGGGAAGTACAGCGTTGATATCCAGCTCATTAAGGATCTTCTGTCGGTGCTGTTTGAGGATCTGAGCTGCCCATCTTTTCTTCTTCCTGGTGCATGGCCTCCTGCCAGGCCTCTGCCTCTTCTGCTTCTTCACAAACCACTTCTTGGTGCCGCTGCCAAACATCTTCAAGCTGAGGAGACCCACCAGAACTTCTTCCACGGCTCTGTCAACACAGTTCCCAAAGGAGGGGAGGTGCATATTTCATGCCAGTGAAGCGACCATGCCACATATTTCCTCGAGGCTCCCTTTGTTGTTGTCTGAGGCGCTTATCTGGGGCAGGAAGAGACAATCTGGACAGTAGCTGATTTCTAGCTGGGTACTTACTGACACTAAGAAGATTACCAGACTCTTAAGTACACCAATGCAAACTGCTCACCACGGCGCAGACATCCTCAACATATTTTACATTATTTTGCCTGTCTTGTTGGAGGATCAAACATTTTAGCTTCTTAAATTGCTCTCTAATCACCATATGCCACCTTTAATTAAAATGACCACTACTCTTTTTTTTCTTCTGTTAGTTCTTTGTAGATAATTTAGAACAACCATGTTGTCACATACTCTACAGTTATTTTGGGTAATGCTGACTAGCCTAAAAGTCATCAGGGAGTTACAAAAGAAGGCTTGCAAGGCTCCAAATTATCCTGGAAAATCTGCGGGATGTGAATGAAACATACTTCTATAAGCTGCCCCTGAGCAAGGCACTCTTCAACCTCTAGCTGCTCAGCTCTCCAACAACTCACCTTCCTGGTTATTGCTGTGAATGTGACATCTGATTAGAGCAAGATTAAAACATTTTGTCATGTGCATTGACCCGTTACATTGAGATGTCAGGCTCACATTGAGGAGAAGCATTAACATATAATCGAATGGAACAAGGGCATTTAAAGGGGAGCTTAATGCATTGTACTAAAAATCTATTAAAAAACAGTAATGCAGCACAAACCAGCATGACCTTGAATCACATTTTATCCAGCTGCTGTGTAAAAGGATGGAGGATGGCCCAGTCTTTACCAGAAGAGGGTGCCATTTGATCAGTGTGTGTCACATATACAGTAAATCAGGTGGTTTTGTAAAGGTATTAACTGACCAGTACAACCAGTACTGGTTTGTGGCTCTCAGGCTCTCTCTCAAAACATGCATGAATTATGATAACCTTAGTCAGGATTTGAACTGCATGCGTTGAGTTTTCAACTGCATATATTAAAAAAACAATTAATAAAATTATATATTATGTAAATATATATAAAAAACTCAAAAATGGTGCTAATACCTTAATTCAGCAGAACCCTAATCCTGAACACCACATGACCCCAATTCTTATGCCTTTTTTTATCCTTTGAATAAGGACATTTTCAGTGCTGTTTTCTTAAGCATTAAGCTAGCTGTGTTAACACACCGGCACTGCTGTAGGCAGGGTTTCAGAAATACAGAGGTCCAAAAACTCAATACGGGTAAGTAGTGGCCCATTGTAGGCACTGATATAAAATAAATACATGATTTATACTCTAAACTAATGCGTTCACAAGATCATTTAATATATAGACATAAACACATATGTTTTCTGAAGGACCAATGTGCAGCATTTAGTTTAGCGGTGTAGTTGCAAATTGCAGCTCACTTGCTTTCCCCTCCCTTTCCAAGCACGAGAGAGAAACTGCAGTGGCCGCGAACCGCCCCACCTACAGCCAGTGTTTGGTTTGTCCATTGTACTGTAGAAACATGTGGTTCAACGTGGCGGACTCCACGAACACTGTCTGTAGATAAAAACGGCTCATTGTAATGTAACAAAGAAGCAATGATTTCTATTTTCAGGTGATTTTACACAAATTAAAACATACATATAAATATTATGTTCAATTCCTGCCAATAAATCCTCCTAAACATTACACACTGGACCTTTAATATTTATATAAATCTAATCTGTACTAAATAATGGTTTTGTTACAAAAACTGCAAGTTATATTCTAATAACATAAATCGACTGATGTACAGCCAGAAATGTTACTGCAGATGAAGCATTTTCAATGCTGTCAAAGTTGCAGTTATAATATGAATTGTAGTCCAATTTAGTGAGCAGATTATCACCAGTAATTGTAATTGTCTTCCAACATATATTCAGTACTTGGAAATGTTAACATTATTATTATTATTCTATATTATAGAAGGATTGGAGAGATATTCTTGAGCTGCTCAGCGTTTCTGCTCTTCCGTCAGCCATCTTGGTTTTGAGAAATGCTATACATGAAAATGGCTTTTGAATAGCTTTCAACTGTAGTGTACCACCATGTGTGAAAGGGTTAAAACACCTCCACTGTGAACAATGGAAGGAACAAAACAAAGCTGCTCCCAATCCCTAAACAGAAAAAATACATCTGACAGAATAAAAAGTGACTGGCCATGAACTGGAGATCAAAAGAGATCATTATCATGGAAACATCAGAGGAACATATCTGTAACCACCAGTAAACTGAAGCACAGATAATTTCCTCTCTATGTGTCCAAAATACAAAACCACTGAGATAAGATTTTTAAAAAAAGCTCGACCAGGCTTTACAACCCCACTGAATCCAAAAAGGAAAGATACACAGATAGCAAATAGTCAGTAATGTATTACATACTAAAAGTAAGTCTGTTCAAGAGCGCCATGCAGAAAGAAAATCCAAAATTGTGTCCGATATGGTCATATAGTCATTAAGACTGAATAATTCATGTTCAGGAAATGTCCTTCAATCCACTGCACAATGACACCGGGTGTGCATGGGAACTAAACCATATCAAAGGATATCTTTGTAGAACTAAATTCCCACTCAATGTTTCCCCGAACAGTATTTCCTTGCTGAGCTACAGTGGAGGGAATAACACAAAGCGGACATTTTGTACTAAAGATACTGTAACTTTGGGAACTACCTACTTCATTTGACAAGCTCAGACAGCTGAACCATTATATTAGCTTTGATAGCTGAATTTAATGATGCAGTTTTATATTAAAAGAGGACTGTGGACCCCATCTGTGAGACTGTAGTCGCTTTATAATGGGATCAATTAGGGGCCAGTGTGGACATGCAAGAATTACTTTAAACCTATTCTTTAGCTTATATAACTGATTTAGTTTAAACCAATTTATACAACAATAATAATATTTCACTTGATATATATTATTATTCTGCATTATTTAATATGTTCATAGTATAAATACTGAATAATCTGTGACAGGGGTAGACGTTTACAGCATTAATTATCCACATTGCATCAGGTACATTTCCTAAGAACTTGACTCTTAAATAAATTCTTGTAGTAAAATTCACAGTTCTCTCATTTGTGGCCACATCCTTATCTCATTATTAGATCTTAGTGCTGCATTTGACACCATTGACCATAATATTCTTTTACAGAGACTTGAGCATCAAATTGGCATTAAAGGAACCGCACTAAGCTGGTTTAAATCATATTTATCAAATCGTTCGCAGTTTGTACACGTTAACGATGAATCTTCAATAAATACTACGGTTAGTCATGGAGTTCCACAAGGTTCTGTACTTGGACCAATACTATTTACTTTATATATGCTCCCTTTAGGCAACATTATTAGGAATCACTCCATTAACTTTCACTGTTATCCAGATGATAAGCAGTTATATCTATCAATCAAGCCCGATGAAATTAATCAATTATCTAAATTACAGATATGTCTTAAGGACATAAAATCCTGGATGAGCTGCAATTTTCTGATGTTAAACTCAGAAAAAAATGAAATTCTTGTACTTGGCCCCAAAAATCTTAGAGACTCACTGTCAAAAGATACAGTTACTCTAGATGGCATTACCTTGGCCTCTAGCACCACTGCCAGGAATCTTTGAGTTATCTTTGATCAGGATTTGTCTTTTAACTCCCACATAAAGCAGACCTCTAGGACTGCCTTCTTTCATTTACGTAATATTACAAAAATTAGACACATCCTATCACAGACAGATGCAGAATAACTAATTCATGTATTTGTTACTTCAAGGCTGGATTACTGCAACTCTTTATTATCAGGTTGACCTAATAAGTCCATTAAAACGCTCCAATTAATTCAAAACGCTGCAGCACGAGTACTGACAGGAACTAGAAAAAGAGATCACATCTCTCCTGTACTAGCTTCTCTGCATTGGCTCCCTGTAAAATGTAGAATAGAATTTAAAATTCTCCTTCTCACCTACAAAGCACTTCATGGTCAGCCCCTTCATATCTTAAAGAGCTCATAGTACCCTATTACCCCTCTACAACACTACGTTCTCTGAATGCTGGGCTACTTGTGGTTCCTATAGTCTCTAAAAGTAGAACAGGAGCCAGAGCCTTCAGTTACCAAGCTCCTCTCCTGTGGAACCAGCTTCCATTTGTGGTTCAGGAGGCAGACACCCTCACCACATTCAAGAGTAGGCTTAAGACATTCCTCTTTGATAAAGCTTATAGTTAGGGCTGGATCAGGTGAGTCCTGAACCATCCCTTAGTTATGCTGCTATAGGCCTAGACTATCGGGGATTTCCCATGGTGCATTGAGCTCCTCTCTTCCTCTCTCTTTCTGCACTCATTCATGTCCCATTAATGCATGTTACTAACTTCACTTCTTCCCCGGAGTTCTTGTGCTTTCTCGTCTCGCAGGTTCTTATTGATCCTGGTGGAGCCTCCTGCCATGGTCCTGCTAGATTGCCATTGCCAATAGTGTTGTTGCTGTGCACCTGTCTGTCTGTTTGTCTCCTTCTCTGTCTCTGTCCGTCTCTCTCTCTCTCACCCCAATTGGTCGAGACAGACGACCACCCACCTAGAGCCGAAGGATCTGTCCTAGGTTCAGTGTTTCCTCTAGGATTTTGAACAGCGGCGGGCCGCCGCTCCAAAATCAACATAGAGGAAACACTGTAGGTTTCTGCCTTTTAACAGGTAGTTTTTCCTTGCCCTTTGCTTGCTCTTGGTGGTACTGTTGGGCCTCTGTAAATAATGTTATAAAGAGTTCGGTCTAGACCTGCTCTATTTGAAAAGTGTCCTGAGGTAACTTCTGTTATGAATTGGCGCTATACAAATAAAATTGAATTGAATTGAATTGAATCCTTTCTATCAGTGCGCTATTATTAGCTCATATGCAGATACATCAAATAAAATGTCCTCTGTGCCAATTTTAACCAAAGCTCCTTATCTCATTGCCCAATAATTCCTTAAAAGTACATTATGTAAGTGTGTAAGTGTCCATATAGCTGCCGGATTACACAACGGTTGTTTGATATAAAAGGTGTAAGATATTAAAGCTTTTGTGTGCACCTGTCCGGGTTAGTGTGCAAAAGATCGCAAACATGATCTGACATAAGCCTGAAATCTGTTAATCCTCATTGATCCAAGAACAATGTTATCCTCCTGACATGAAACAGTAGTGC